GCGCTTTTTTTTTTTTGTCAGCGTGTGTCATTCCGCATTTTCTTCAGTTCAGTATATAGAAAGATCGTGATATGCGCGATGTTCCGAGTGCCGTGGATTATCCCGCTCCCGTTTAGATCCACTTTAGCTATGTTGTACTGAGGCACACAGCAGATGTCGACATATCTTCCGTAGGGGAAATAGTTGTTCTGCATGCGAAATGGCATAATATGGCATTGTTGCAGTTTACTCTTACGGCGTTATTGCCTTATTGATCAACCTACCTTTCTATTTTTTTCCCCGTGTCACAAAAATATCGTGCTAAAACGTCCCAGCCTCGTCTATGTACAGGAGTGTTTCTTTAGAATATTCAGTATGTGCCTATATCTCGACTGCTTTAATCAAGTGACTTGACATACACGATTGTTCCTTAGGAGGGGGGCCGCCCCCCACACCCATGAGCGCAATTTCTGTGCTTGTGGGGGCAGTAGCGGGGCACATGGCCACCCGCCTTGACAACGATAACGACTCCGACGGAGCCGCCTATCTGCCCCCTGTCCAGAACGAGCCAGTGGTGCGGCTGCTGGAGGGCATGGTCGACTGCGACCCAGTGTACGAGTATGCAGGTACAGTGTTGAGACACATCGATCTGCACTTTAGGCCACTTGTAGGTTGCGTGGGATGGAAAAATATAAATAAAGGGACTCAGAATTCCAGAACGGTGAAGATAAGACGGAAGATATTTACAGTCGTAAGAAAAAAAAGTAAGAAATAAAGCGGTGTAGATATATAAGCAAAGTTCAGTTCGGCAAATCCGCTTACGGCACGGTGTTGCACGTCGGCATTGGCATGGAGTTGGCAGGCTCGCTTGGCACAAGCGGATGTTTCCCAGCAAGCTTGGTTAACAGCCCCACGGGCCTGGATTTGTCTGTCCGGGCTCTTCCTTGGCTGCCAGGACCACTGCTGTCGAGCCGGGTTCCGTGTCGTGCCCGCCCTTTTTTCACGTATCACAAGCCTGTGTCATCTTCCTCTCATCACGTCTTCCTTTTTCATTATATCCATCTCTTGCTTTGGCCTTGCTGCCTTCGTCTTCTAGTTACTCACACCTTCACCACGTTCACTGCGTCTTCTTTCTCATTTTTTGCTCAGTCCAACTCACAGTTTTCATGTATGTCGTTCTTATCATCCTTGGTTCCCCCCCGTCACAGTGTGCACCTCACAAGGGATTGGTAACACAGAATCCATTCTATTGGGGAGGAGGACAGACCGTGACGCCCCAAGCGGTTAACCTAGCAACTACACGGATGGGGACAACAAATACAATGACGCAGCGTTCGGCCGACATAACCGAACGCGGCGTCAGCGTTCGGCTGGAGTTCGTGTTCTCCGGCAAGGGGGAGGAGGGGCTGTTTTGTTTCCACTACGGCCTGCATGAACAATGCAGCATGCACGATCCCAGCTCAGCACAAAAGCCGAAGTGGGTCAAGCTCGCATTCTCCGAGGATAGATCCGGCACTTAACGTCGCTTCGTCGATTGTTAGTATTTTTTACATTAAACTGCGCCCCGCGCTCTATTGTAGAAGATGACATGGCCATGCCCATAAGGCCTGTCGGCGTGTGCACAGGCCTTGTGTTGAGTAAACACCAAGCGTGGGGAAAACAAACGGGTCAGAGCGCCCCCTATAGTTCGATCTCCTGCCCAATAGCTTTGTGGTAATGTTGCACAAATTAACCGGCCACAATGGCGCCCAAGCGTGGTATGCTACTCACTCGCAGAAATTTCACGAGGCTTGGTTTCTTCTTTTGGTAAGCCTTTTTCCACTCCCCGTGTTTCCTACCGTCCCGTGCTTCGGTCACGTCCGCGTTTGTTGTATTGGTTTGTTTTTGACCGTTCGTTTTGTGACTGCGGCAATAGTTTCGCACGCTTGTGTTGGTTTCTGGGCGGCGTTTCTTTTTCTGTGCTTGCAGCCATGCTCACACGGGAGCAGGAAGCTGCAGTGGCCGCAGCGGCACAAATGAACCTGCTCAAAAGGTCGCGGTGATATGCAACTTCGTGATGCAGCGCATGGCCCTCACGCCTGGCCAGCAGGAGACCCCGCCGCAAGAGCCCCGACCACACTTGACTGTACCAGTCTACGTGGGGTACGACGACGTTAAGTCCGTGGCAGACTTCCTGGGGGAGTTGCAGACGTACCACCTTGCCTACGGTGCCTCGTAAGCCTTCATCATGGACCGCATTGTCCCGCTGGTGTTGCAAGCCAGTGCTAGAAGCTGGTTGGGGTTGCAGGCCCCGTTCACGAGCCAGACAAGGCTTCGAGAAGAGTTCCTGCCTGTGGACTACGCAACGCAGATTCTCCGAGAGCTCGAGGCAAGGCCGCAGCACTTGGACGAAAGTCAGGACCGGTACGTTCAGGTCATGCAAGAGCTCTTCAAGAGGGCGGACCCGAGTACACCGGAGTCGGACAGAGTAGCTCGGGTCAGAAGACTGTGCCACCCAAGATACCACGCCTGCCTCATCGAGGAAGCTCTTCATGCTGAGCGGAACTACGTGCTGCCGCCACCAGCCAAGTACGCACTCAAACCAGCATGCCCCGAGGCCTCCACGGAAGTGGACTGTTCGAATGAGACCTCTCTTCCCCACCACATCAACCGGGAGAGTTGGCGTGACATGTATGGCGTTCGACTAACTCTCATCGAGAGGTCCCTGGAGGTCACAGCAGTGCCTGTGAGGATCTCGGGCGGGGGTCGCCACGACAGGTGGGAGGTCGTTGGCCGTGCCCTATCGCAAGTTGGGGCCCAACGGAGATCACTACCCAAGCGAACCATTTGTATCAGTGTGCTCCTGCAAGTGCTGGGGAAAACTGGCACGCTGCGGTCGAAATCCCGCAGCAAAGCAGCATTGACCCCCGCCGCAACGGAACAAGCCCTCCCCACAACAGCTAATCGCAAGCCTGGTAGAGGCCTTCCCATAGTGGTTCTTTACCAGATCACTGGAGGCGGGCACCTCGGTGTGGGTGACCTAAGCAGGCAACTGTTGTCGGACTGCTGCTACAGGTGCGAGCAGCCCGACCACCAACGAAACTAGTGTCCAAGACTTCTGGACACTACAAACAAGAGGTGGCACGAGACGGCGGGAAAGGGGCTGGAACCAGAACAACCAGGGAAACTACCACGGCCGCCAACGCTGAAACCAGACAGCCACTGGCTGAAAGCCGTTACAGTCCCGATGCTGCGGCAGTGAGGCCGCAGCACAGATTCCATCGGAATGTCAAATCCAGCCCGAGCCTATCATCATTGAACCGTGCATGACGATCACTTTGCTCAGTTTTCCTTTTGCTGCACTTTTGGATTCTGGGGCCGCTATCTCACCTAGAGGGGATTTCGTTTTCGAACTCTGCAAAGCAAGAAAGATAAGTCTCCGGGAATGCGAAATTCGACTACAGCTAGCTTCTCTGACCTTCGAGAGGCTTGAGAAAATCTAGACGTCGCCCGAGTGCAGCAGTCGTAACGGTACAACTAGGGGCACCGTGACCTGCAGTTCCAGTTGTCGCAGTTTAATTTGAATACAGCTGACGGCAGCAAAGGGCTGGAACCAGAACATCCAGGGAAACTACCACGGCCGCTAACGTTGAAACCAAACAGCCACTGGCTGAAAGCCGTTACAGTCCCGGTGCTGCGGCAGTGAGGCCGCAGCACAGATTCCATCGGAATGTCGAATCCAGCCCGAGCCTATCATCATTGAACCGTGCATGACGATCACTTTGCTCGGTTTTCCTTTTGCTGCACTTTTGGATTCTGGGGCCGCTATCTCACTTAGAGGGGATTTCGTTTTCGAACTCTGCAAAGCAAAAAAGATAAGTCTCCGGGAATGCGAAATGCGACTACAGCTAGCTTCTCTGACAACCTTCGAGAGGCCCGAGGAGATCTAGACGTCGCCCGAGTGCAGCAGTCGTAACGGTACAACCAGGGGCAATGTGACCTGCAGTGCATTTCATGCCGTGCAATTTATAAACATTGTACCTCGTGCTAACGGCTTGTAATCCAGATATCGGTTTACCCATCTTGTGACAGGGGACAACTACCTACCTGGCAGCCCTTCTATGGACGTCGCCGAGCCAGAGGCAAGCGCCAGTGTCACAGCAGCTACAGGAGCAGACCCGGGTCCCCCCACCGAGCAGACCGTACCTGCTCCTGCAGCTGCTTCAAGCTGCAGCAGCGACAGGGTTGCGGCGACTCAGGATGAAGGCAGGCCGGCCAGAGGGAGAATGATGCTCTTAGAGCAGGCTCTCGCAGCAGAAAACGACGTACGAAGTTCTCTGCTGAGGGCAGAGTCTGCCATTCGAATCAAGCTCCTTGAAGAGGAGCAGCAGATGAAGGTGGCAGAGCACCAGATGAAGGTGGCAGAGCACCGCGTGCGGCTCCAGGTGGAGCAGACGAACTTGAAAATTGCGGAGTGGAAGCTCAGAGAGCTTCAGCAGGGAGGCGAAAAATAAAAAAAGTGCCAATGCCTCGACTGTTGAAGGGATCTAATTTATTTCACAGAAGTTGAAAGCTGGGGCTATATCCAGAAAAGGATAGGGTGCGATTTCAGCTTGTTTCACATTAGGCATGCTTTGAGAAAATGCATAATTACATAATGGCTCCTGCCCTTCATCTATTATCATTTGGACTAGTAAAAAGCCACTGCACAGTCACTACAGCAAAGGGTTTGGCAATATTTTCACATTTTTATTGGTGAATAAACAGGAATAGAAAAAACAGTAAAGGCATTTGCGAAATACACACACAAAAAAAAAACTTATTAACATATGAACATACCTCCAGACGATGCTTATAGGACAGTTTCATTGGACGCTGTGCTATTTACTCCAGTACAATGAAAAAAAAGCCACTTTCACGACAAAAGCTTTAAAGGGGCGATGGAACAATTTTTCGTACTTCGTGCAGATACTGCGTAAAACAAATCCCCAAAGTTTATGAGCTATGAAACACGCTTGTGTCTTTAAACCCGCGCAATAAAAAACGCCGAAGAAAAAAATGGAATAAATGGCAGAGTTTCCCCCTTTAACTTGCAGCCAGAAAAAGTGGCCAAGTGATTTGGAGACGATTATATGGCACCAATGTTAATCATAGTACAGGACACGCGCCGAATCGCAGACATTGTTGGTTTGGCTGTTGTCATCGTTGCAGCACTTGGACACGAGCCACTACCTGAATGATTGCCAAGCTGTTATCACATGCCCAAATCGAGTGCTCACGCAATACTATAAGGTCCAATCTGTGAGCCGCATTCAAATATTGTCGCTCTGAGGGGGGACTACACCGACAATGCGACCCCTGAGCGTTTGTGTAGGAGTGATTGAAAGAAAATGGTTGCTTTTATCTGAAATTACACTGCAACAAAAAATGTTTCTTGGTCAGCGGCATTGCATTTAAGTATACTAGGGTTCCTCTAGTGCCAGTAAGCTTGTGTAAAGTGAAAAACATTATAACTGAATATTGTTCCACCGCCCCTTTAAGGCAAAGCTCGATCAGTCATTGCAGAAGGGAGCTTCCACTTCGAAAGAAGTTTCTACTTGAAGCTTCTTTCGATGATTTGCTCCCGTTTCTGTATGCCCGTGAGGGAGTCCTCCACGGTGTCCACGGCGGGTGGCAGGTGGACTGGCCGTGTGGCCCTCCTCCTGGGTCTCCGTGCCCTAGGCACAACTGGCGGAGCTGGGGGAGGTGGAGGCTGTGGGTCCTTTCTCAGGCAGGCCAGGTTGTGGAGTGCAGCGCAGGCTGTGATGATCTGCACCGCCCGACGTGGCTTGTGCTGCAGCCTCATGTCGAGGCAGGGGAAGCGCCGCTTCCAGATGCCAAAGGCCCTTTCGACAGAGTTTCTCGTCTTGATGTGGGCCTTCTGGTACCTGATCATGTGAGGGAATATCATGAGTGGCTAATTAAACTATAATATTGCCTGTAGATCCCTTTCATATCTTTCTCCCGAGTAGCTCGATTTCAAAATGCTCCAGCACAACGCACTAGCCGCAGACAATGACAAGCAGGAGAAGCTTCACTTGTCCCGCCTCCAGCATCAGCATCATACATTTGGTAACACATTGTCATCTTGTGCACTTCGTGCATGCATGTGCAGCCAAAGCATGCGAGAAGGCATTGAGCGTGCTCTGGAGGCAGGGCAGAAAGACTCCCTGCAGTTCTCATTGTGTCAGTGACTATAATCCTCAATAAGGGCAGATATTTTCGGGGCTAACGTTGTCACACCCAGTATCTTACTTATTTTGTTCATACATTATTTAACCATCGCAACTAGTGCACAAGTTCAGTAGTCTTACGTTCCACGTTTGTATATAATGTTTTCCTTGTCTTTAATAAAGTAGAAAGTTGGGCTAGTTGATTCTGGTTATACATAATGACAAATACACAGCGCAAAAGGACAAAAAGGGAAGAGACACACCGGATAGAACAGAGCGCTGTTCTATCCGCTGTGTCTCTTCCCTTTTTGTCCTTTTGCGCTGTGTATTTGTCATTATGTATTTTCCTTGTCTCCACACATAGCCCTACATTTGCTCAGGCACTTGTAGGATTTACTTGCCTGCCTCGTGGTGTGTTAGCTGGACCGGGATCTGCCAGGGGGGTCATCAGGAAGAAGAAGCAGGCGTAGCCCATGTCCCCAAGCAGCACCCCTGGCACCCGGCGTTCCTCGTACAGCACCCGGACACGGGAGTTATCGAAAATCCGGCTGTCGTGCACCGACCCGGGCCAGCTCACAACCACATCGTAAAATTGCAGCTGGGGGCCGGTGACAGCCTGCAAGTAGATTGCGTTGAAATGAAACATGGAGACATGAGTAAGAAAAATTAGTGGCAATGGTCCCATCGAATGAAGCTGTCGTAATACTCGACAAATATTTTCATTACAAAAACTGCTCAAGTGATGTGTTCTGACAATGTCAATATGAACATTGTAAGCTTCGAAAAGTATGAATATTGCAGTTCATTTGGAAGCGAATATCAAATAACGTATTATTTGAACTACTATTAGAAAATTAGAATATTCGTGCAGCCCTACTTTTTGCACATAAAATTCGTGCAGCCCTACTTTTGCACATAGCATCAAGGGGAAAAAAATCTGTACTTTATTAATTTTCAGTGGCATCGCCAACCATGTCATGTGCCAGACGCTTTAGAGCAACATGTAGCAGGTTATTCATTCTGGCTCAGTTTGGCGCAGCAGCTCAACCACTGCATATAGCGAAGCAAAGACGAGAGGGCTTTGACTACAATGCTTGGGGCAGAATTTCCAAATTTCATGCAGTCGAACATGAGCGCATACTCCAATGAATAACATCTCGCGATCGCGCTAGCGTTGCTCTTTAAACTCTAAATTCGGTAAACCGCGAACTCTGCACTCGTTACCTGGACGTTGATTGAGAACACTCCCTTGCGGTTGCGGAACACCTCCGCGTCGTCGCCGCCGGGGCTCTTGATTCGCACGTGGGTGCAGTCGATGCACCCGGTGACGCCGGGGAATTTCGCAAGTGCGAAGAAATCGAGCATCACCGTGTTGAATTGGGCGGCGCTGGGAAAGTGAACGAGGTCCCGGAACAAGTGCCTCGCGATCAGCTGCGTAACCACTCCGACCGCGCGGCACACTGTCGGTTGGGACACGTTCACGAGGTCCCCAGTCACAACCTGGAAGGTCCCGGCACCATAAAACCGCAGCGTGACCAGCAGTTGCAGCATGGGGGTCAGCGGAAGGCCTCTGCAGTCGGTGCTCGTTTGTAGCGGCAGCATCCCGAGCAGCTCTCGCACGGTTCCCTTCGTAAAGCGGTACCGCGCCAGGAACTGCCCGTCGTTGTAGCGCTCCATTGGGTTCTCCCTATCCCGAATTGATGGTCGCGGGACTCGTGGCAAAGGGAACGCGTCCCCGAAGACGACATCGCACGCGCGAGTTGCGAATTCGAAGGCGGAGATCCTCTCGGCGACGTCGCTTCGCCAAGCCGCCATGTTGAAACGACTACGAAGTCGCGTTCAAGATAGGTCCAACCCAGTCTTGAAATTTGGGCACTTCAAGTTCGCTTCAAGCTCCGTTCAAGATCGGTTCAAGTTAAGGTGCGTTTATGAAGCGCGCTTGCTCGTCGCAAGACGGACTTGAGCAAGTTGAAGCTCGACTTCAGAGCAAGTCACATCTATGAATTCGGGGGTAAGTGAGGGCTTTGCATGTTCTTACTCTTGTTTCGCCATGCACACGTGCTCCTACCCATTTCGAGTTCTTTATCCTTCCGCGCGTCTCTTCTCTCACTCTCCCTTTACGTACACAGGTAGTTGATACAAAAACGTTCCGCAACTCGACTGTCCTCACAATTCAAATTCAAATCATTTATTTGCATATGCAAGTACAGATATCGGAGCCACAGAAGAAAAAAGCCAATTTTCGTTGCCTTGACTAGGTCCGGGCCCCGTGTGCTTGGCAGATAGTGATGGAGATGCAGGGAAACAAATCAGAGAAACAGATATGTAAAAAATAGGTCAGCTAAATGGTTAACATAAGATAATACATGTTATACAAAACGTAGGTACAGTGATTTACGATCTAGACTATACATGGCAGGATTATCTACGTAATATTCATTGAGTAATGTGGGATAGGTTATTATGAAGAGTCTGCGAGCCGTAATTTGTACGATTATGGGACACCCTCCAATCTTCGGAGCAGTGGGTGCAAATGGTGCTTATATTTCTGGTTAAATTTGATGTATGCCTCAAAAAACCAATCACTTCTGGTGATGAAAAACAAAATGACATAGTCAGAAGGTATTCATAAAATTGATATACATTGATAATTCTTGTAGTTTAGACATAATAATTCGATGTGGAATAAAAGATTAACGTTTTCGATAAAGCGTAACACACTCTTTTGAAGCAATTGTAGTTTATTTAGATGTGATTTTGTCGTCGCCCCCAAATAAGATGACAACACTTTATTAGATATTTAAATAATCCACGATGGATTTGTAATTTTATGTTTTCCGGGAGAATAAAAGCGAGATCGACCAAGAATACCGACGATTTTGCATAATGTACAGGTAATGCGGAGAACAAGACGTTTCCTTATAGCGCAGTAGCTGTGGTGACGTCAGAACGACGCCGAGCGTTATAGGCTGAAGGAAAAAAAATAGTGGGTAGAGCTTAATCCTAGATACTTAGCAGTCTGTCCGCAATTCCTTTCAATTGGCCAATAAGAGCTCGGCGTCATTCTGACGTCACCAGCCCAAAACGCAGACAACTTCCGCTCCGCGTATAATTTATGTGTGCATCTCTGGACAAGTCTTCTGAAAGGATAACATCCAATCTTTTATGATTTTTCATTAGTTCAACTGGCTTAGAATTGAACTGGGGAGCTTTTTTAAGAGCTACATGTTTATTGATTGATGTTGATATTATTTTTCTGGTTTTCGTTTCATTATTATTAAGCCCATTCGACTTTGACCACATTGTAAATTTTGAGAGCATGACATTCCCTTTGGGTATTTATTAAGTTGTCCGCATCCGCGCCAGAGAGAAGCAGACTGGCGTCGTCTGGATACATTATGAAATGAGTGTCCTCGCCAGTATTCCTAATATCATTTATATAAATATTAAAGAGTAATGGCCCCAATATGCTACATTGTGAAACACAATATCTGATAGGCATAAAAGATGATAAATATCCATCAATGATCACACTGTATACGATCTTCTAGATATCAACACAAAAGTGAAAGTGAGGAACCACGAATGTCGTAGTGGTAAAATTTGCGAACAATTATTTCGTGATTAATAAACTCAAAAGCTTTGCTAAAATCTATAGGTGTGCCTAATGTGAAACGTTTGTTTTCAATGCTATGTACAACAATTACCTTTTGTAAGAGGAGTGCAAATTACGTCAAATTTCCCTTTCTAAATACTAACTGAGACTCAAAAAATACTGAGTGCCTGACAAAAAAAAAAAGAACAACAAAAAACATCTAAACGACACAAAAAATATTTTCGAGCCCCTTAAAAAGAAAATGGCTGGACCAATATAGGTCTATAATCAGACAAATAATTCTTTTCACCACACTTGTACAGCACTGACCCTTTTACACGTTTCATTTCTCTAGGAAAATCTCCGCGCGACACGCGTAAATTAAAGATGTGCACAAGATACGGCGCAACTTTGTTAAAAATAGATTTCACGGGTTTAATTTGGAGGTGGTCAATATTCCATGTTTTACTATTCTTAAGCCAATAAAAGTTTTAAACACTGACAATATAAGTAGTAGGATCAAAATAAAGATATACTGATTCTTCGTGAAATGCCTACACGGCTGCCTCGCAGTATGAGTTTGACGCTATATTTACAAAATGGGAATTAAAACATTCAGCCAACGCTACCTCGGACGCCAATTGCCATATATGCTAAGTTCACCTATGAACCGGTGATCTACTGGAGTGCAAAATTTCATCTATTGATTTCCAAACGATATCTGGACGTTTCCTCGAAGCGTCACTGAACAGTTCCTTTTTTTATAATATTCACGCTTTGCACTCCTTAGACCTGCTGTTAAGGTATTGCGATATTTCGTGAAGCTAACTAATTTATATAGGTCTTTCGTAGTGACATATACGCTGCACAACCCAGTTTCTGCCCTATCATTTTAATACGAACAGGCGTAATCCAAGACTTACGATATTTTTTAATGATGTGATTGCCCTATATGGAGAACGTCTGTTATAGACAGCTTTTAATTTCTCAAGAAAGTTTTTTATACGCATCGTTGATACTTCTCTTTGACAGTATCGGCCTTCAATCTAAAGATGAAATTTGATTTCTAAAATCCAATATGTTTTAATCTCATTGTACTGGCAAGAAAAAGGCTGTATTTTGACCTTAGTTTTGAGATCTGTACAGTGAAAAGAAGTAAAAGTCGAAATATGGTTACTTATGTAAGAGCAAATGGTGCCCGCGGCATTAATTTTGGTGCTAATATTTGTATCAAAGAGGTCGATGACACTTGATGAACTTTCAGTGCTTCTTGTGGATGACATCATTACGTCTTGAAAGCCATAGGATGCGAGGGTATTTTTCAATTGCGAAGATAGGCTGGTATTGCTTTGCATATTCACGGTAAAATCTCCTCCCATTAAGGCTAAAAAAATCATTTGTAGACAAAAATTCCCAAGAACTGTCCAGAAAAGAGCAAATATTGCACAAATTCGCTGATGGCGGGTGACAACCCTGTTGGAAAATCTCGATGATGGAAAGAGGACGGAAAAGGCTCATACAAGCGTAACCGTAATATGGGACATCCTATACAAGCGAAAAAGGCGGCTCCAGTATAGTGGAATAAGGCGGAACGATACAGGTGGGCGGAACCATACAAGCGTGTCGTATTATGGGACATCCTATACCAGCGTAGTGGATATAGGCGGAACCATGTAGGCGGACGGAACCATACATGCATAACGTAATATGGGACATCCTATACCAGCAAAAAGGCGATACCAGCATGGTGGAGCCATATGGCTCCAGCGTGTTGGTTTCGCCTTTTCACTGTTGTACAGGGCGATTTAGTTTTAAGCTTTACATATATGTTTAGAAAGGTCGTGAAAGCTATATTAATGCGGTTTGTGCAGGCGAGTTATACGGCCAGGCGTACGTAGTATAGGGACCTAGTCGTAACGATCAGTCAGATAATTAAATACAATTTGTTAATCAACTTTTTAATTAGTGAAAATGAAAATATGGTTTCAATTAGAAAGTTGCTGAGTCATTGAAAACCACAAAATCAAGTTTTTTTAGAAGGATATAATTCAGGGGTAGCGTTTTATGCATTCTGTAAAAAGCTTTATTTGGACGAGTTTCTAGGTTTCAGTTTCTTATCAGAGCTCATCTCTGCGCCCACGGTCCTGTTCCCCAGGGGCATAGACACGCAACACACATGCGCCTTGCTTCCCTTCATCCTACGAGGGAGGCGAGGGGGCGGCTTCGCACTGCGGTCACCGGGCAGCTGGACCGCAGGTGCAAAGATGCGCTCTGGTAAGAAACCGAAGTCTGGAAATGCGTCCAAATTGACCATTTTTTTATAACGCCATAAAATGCTACTCGTCTTATATCTTTACAAAGAAAATTGATTTAGTGTGTTTTGATGATGCTTAGCAGGTTTCTAATTGGAACCATGGGTCTATTTTCACTGATCAAAAATTTCACGAACATACTATACTTAGAGAGAGGCTGAAGCAGTTTTGTATTTGAGAAAACACTTTTAAATCTTCTTCATTCGACCTCCAGAATCTCAAATATCAAAATTATTTGCTAATTTAATTAATCAAGGCTGCATAGTCATTTTTAAAGCGCTGTGAAAGCACCTCCCTAGAGAGCGACGTCACAACAGCAGCTTTCAAAATCTTTGTTCACGCATCTTCAGCGCCTATCAAAGCTATGCACGCACATGCTATTTTTTAAAAGGGCAGAAAAATGTGTCACGACTGGTGCCAGTGCCGGAGAATATACCTAGAAAACTTGCGATTGGACGCGCGGCCCTTAAGCGACACACGCTTGGCGGCCGAAAGGTCTTCTTACGATGTCACTG